TAATGAAAAAAATGTACTAATAACAAATCAGCATTGTCCTAGGATTTTGCCAAAATTTTATTTGTTAATTATTTGGTATTTTCATTATTCCATTGCATTTCAATTTTTAATCATTTGATGACATAAATGGCTAATAAGATTTTTTTTTCCATTTTTACTATTTTAATAAAAATTATTTATTTCATTTTATTATTTTAATATAAATAATTTAAAATAATAAAATTTGATAGTTCCGTATTTTTTAAAATTTCTTACATTATATTTCGACATTGAGCTCACAATCGTATTTTCTTCCATTCATTAAGTTACAGCTGTGTTGCGTTCCCTTTTCTAGTTATCTCATTGATCGTTCACTTACAGCTGTGTTGCGTTCCCTTTTTTAGTTATCTCATTGATCGTTCACTTACAGCTGTGTTGCGTTCCCTTTTTTAGTTATCTCATTGATCGTTCACTTACAGCTGTGTTGCGTTCCCTTTTTTAGTTATCTCATTGATCGTTCACTTACAGCTGTGTTGCGTTCCCTTTTTTAGTTATCTCATTGATCGTTCACTTACAGCTGTGTTGCGTTCCCTTTTTTAGTTATCTCATTGATCGTTCACTTACAGCTGTGTTGCGTTCCCTTTTCTAGTTATCTCATTGATCGTTCACTTACAGCTGTGTTGCGTTCCCTTTTCTAGTTATCTCATTGATCGTTCACTTACAGCTGTGTTGCGTTCCCTTTTCTAGTTATCTCATTGATCGTTCACTTACAGCTGTGTTGCGTTCCCTTTTTTAGTTATCTCATTGATCGTTCACTTACAGCTGTGTTGCGTTCCCTTTTTTAGTTATCTCATTGGTCGTTGTTTATGTGCACTCTTTTTCATACATATCTCCCTCATTTATAATGTGTTTTCAATTACAATGTAGGCACTGTCCTAGGATCTTGCCAAACACAAATTAAATAAATAAAAATAATTGACGATAAATTATAAAAAAATTAAATTCAGAAAAATATAAATTTAAAAAAAAAAGGTGAACCAGGCTGAAGAAAAATTTTTTTTACTTTTGAACAGGGGGAATTTCATGGTTATTTAACTTTAATTTTTAGCCTTTAGTTTAATTTAATTTATTTTAATAATTTAAGGTGTGAAATAACCACAAGCATGAAATTTAATTTTAAAATTACCTAAAATTAATAAAAATTTATAAATTTTCAAATAATATATTGTTGATTAATTAATTAATTAATAATTGATATTTTTATCAAAAATTCACTATTAAACTAATAAATTGGCAGTTCACAATGGGAAATTATAGACATTCTCCTGGGAACCAAATTATCTACTGTGGTAAAGGTTACTATAAATATAAATCTCATTATATTTTTAAATTTTTATTAATTATTTAATTTAAATGGTGTTTATGTAATGAAGTTTTTGCTGTAAAAGTGTTAGTTAGACATTCAAACACACTTACATACTTATCCATACAGATACAACACGTACACAGAAATGAACAACATGTCATAAATACATACAAATGTAGTTTTTTTATGTACACACATACAAAAATACAACATAAAATAAAATAATATCAATGATAATTTATACCTAATTTACTTTTAACCTTAATCCTAACTCCAACATGGAAGGTTATGAACCATTTCTACCTCACGGTAGTAAACAAGTCAGTTGTCGACCATGCCTTGCAAATACATTTAAATCAGAGAGCTGCTTTTCAAATGATGATAATTGTCATTGTAACGATTTTACTTCATGTGAAGATGGTGATTCTTTTTTGTTATTTGTCAATCAATCAATCATTCAGTCAACCAAATCAATCAATCAGTTAGCATAGTTATATAGTTGTAATTATCATGATAAATGTAAACATTTATTATTTTTAATTATTTAATTATTTGATTAATTAATTAATTCTTGATGGTTTAAACAGTATCATTGCTTGTGATAAGCTGGAATCTCTTTGTATTCAAAGCCAGTAACTGCAGCAGTTGAACCAGACGCTTTAACCATTACACCACCTCGCTACCTTACATTTACATATATATATATATATATATATAAATATATGTATATATATATATATGTATGTGTATATATATTTTTTCTTTCAAGATGAAATTACAGTGAAAGGCAATTGGACACGTGACAATATCTGCATACGAATTGATCAAGCCAGTAATCATATTTTCATTATTTGGAATACAAAAATTAGTGATTTATTTGTTATTAATTTATAATTTATTCACAATTGGTTATAACTTATAATATAACATATTTTGTTATGACTTATTATAATTTATTCATGATCCGTTAATCATTTTTATTCGTCTACTCTTTGTTGTGGCTTAATTTATAAAATTTCTTATACAATTGGTACCAGTGAACTATAATGAAACTTCTGACACACAATTGTTGTCATCGTTGTTAGAATTGAATACTAACAGTACTGCTGCTACAACAACTACTGCTACCACTAAAGATAGCAATTATAATGAGTTAGTTGTAGTAAAATTGTCATTTTTAATTGGTTCAATGGTTAAAGGCGCCTGGCCTTGCTGCTGCAGTGACTGGGTTCGAATACAAAGAGATCCCCGCCTATCATATGCAATGTGTATGATGCGTGGTTTTATACATATATATTTATATATAAGCTGTGTGTGTTTGTCGTTGAAACCTCTGAAGCAAGCACAAAAAAGAGAGAGTAACCTTTAACCTTTAAATTGTGATGATTTCGATGTTGATGAGGACGATGAAGATATGATGAAGAGGATGAAGATGTGATGAAGATGATGAGGACGGTGAAGATATGATGAAGAGGATGAAGATGTGATGAAGATGATGAGGACGGTGAAGATATGATGAAGAGGATGAAGATGTGATGAAGATGATGAGGACGGTGAAGATATGATGAAGAGGATGAAGATGTGATGAAGATGATGAGGACGGTGAAGATATGATGAAGAGGATGAAGATGTGATGAAGATGATGAGGACGGTGAAGATATGATGAAGAGGATGAGGACGGTGAATGTATGGGAATTATTCATTTATTAATTCTTCCTAATTCTCTCATTTATGTTTTAAAGATGCATCAAAAATAAAAATAGAGTGCATTGCGATGTCCAATGATGATGATGATGACGCTTATCAATAAACTTATGATGATACCAACATGCATAATCAATCAATACAATTATTTTTATCATCAGGTACTTTCCAAAAGTCATGTGGTTTGTTTTAGGGATCATCAATCTACTGTTGCTTCTGTTGCTGGCATTCGTGATTTACAAACTCGTAAAGACTCGATGCTGTAGAATTTTTAGCCTCTTCAACTTTTGCAATTTTTCAAAAAATGTAACCACAACTACTAATACCAGAGCTGCTGCCACTAATACCACAGCTGCTATTGGTGTTAATAACGAAGCAGCTGCTAGTACCACAGCCACTGATCGTCGTGTTTATGACACTACCGAGGATTATAATGCTGCCGATGATGGTGGCTATGCACGTGCTGCTACTCGGCCTCTACTTATGACGGCAGCACCTTCTTCATTGGGATCATTGCCACCTCCATTGCCTCTTCATCTCCATGAGGGGACAGGACCACAACAGCCTCAACGTCCACGGCCACCACAACTTCAACAATTACACTCGCAACAGTCACAACTACCACAACAATCGGATTATGAAATATATAGCGTTGAAGCTGTCGACACGGATTATTGAAGCGTTCTTTAGTAACACTGGTTGACAGACTGATATAGCGTATTAACTTATAACTGTTTAAAAAAACCAACTTAATGCTTTTGTTTTAGATGTCGTTGTCTTTTGTTTGTTCACTCGTTAGTGCCAATTTCAAAGTCCAATTATCATTCAATGGAATTAAAATAGGACACTGAGATAATTTTGGAGCAAAATTTTCGAGCAATTATTTTTTGTATCTTTGTGTTTTCTATAGACGCGTTTTATGATTTAGAAATTATTTGTTAAGATCATGAAGTTGCCATTGTTTTAGATGTCGTTGTTTTTGTTTGTTCACTCATTCTTTCTTCTAGATTTTTCCAATCATGCGTTCGATCAATCAATCAGTCATATGAATTATTATAATTATTATCAAGTGTGCGTATATATACATATATACATATATATGTATGTGTGTATATCTCTCTATATATGCGTTTGTGTATATATATTTTTGTTCTTTATATGAGATTAAATCTGAATTTTTGAAGTAAAATCTGCGACTTTGAAGTTCTAGTGTTCTTTTTGTTGCCTTCATCGTTCTTATCATTATAATCTTTGTTATCGTTATCATTTCTATCATTATCATTTGTGTTATCATTATCCACGCTATCCTGTTATCCCCGGTTTACGATCGTCTTCTTCTTCTCGCTTTTTCTTAACTCGTGTTAAACACTCTTTTGCCAAATCTGCTTTTGCTTTTTCTGGTCCTTTTCTCTGGAACTCTCTGCCTACTTCTCTAACTATTTCTCCATCGCTTGCGAAGTTCAGAGCGGATCTCAAGACCCATCTGTTTTCAAAATTCATTGAGGAGCGCTGTTGAACATCGCGGAAATAGCGCTTTATAAGCTAATTGATTGATTGATTGATTGATTGATAGTATATGTGATATATTTTTATTAAAAAACTTTTAGGTAAATTGTATATAAATTTATTTATTTCACTTGTATAATTTATTTGTATTCTTTAGTGTAAACATATTTTAAAGCCTTACATTTATCTATTTGAAAGCTGAAATCAGACCAGTGCCTCACACACTCCATCCCATATCTGCAGTGTGTTCTGTCTAGTAGTTTTTTATTCAAACTTTTTTGGCAAATACGTGATTGAAAATGAATGATGATAATAAATGGTTCCTACTTTGATAATTGGATATTAGTTGTACTAACATGACAATTTTATACAGTTTTGTCTCGTAAATTGCTTAAATAAAATGAAGATTAAATAGTTAAAAGGTAGTTCTGTGTTTTTAGTTAAAATTTCCAGAAAATTCTAGTAATAAAATTATAAAGACAAACTTTAAATCCGCATGATGCCAACGATTCGGTAGCATTCATACAATAATAGGTATGAATAAATATATATATATATATGTATACTTTAATTATGTTGAGAATAATCACTGTATTTGTACATTTGATCAGTTTCTGAAAATACAGTCATCTTTCTTAACAATTGTATCTACAACAGTCTTAACCTTAACTTTACATGTGTATATACATTTGTCTGATATGTAATATACACTGAAACGTAGATTCACTTTTAAATATAATTATGCGTTACTAATTTAATTAACGGATTAATCATTTAATTTTCAGAAAAAAATTAATAAAAAATGGATTTTTGAAATCAGTTTTAATATTTGATACTTGCGATCAAATGTTGATCGAAATATTTATCTTCCATAGAAGTTATAAATTTCTTATTTCTAAATAATTTTCCAAAGTATGAGCAAAGTTAAGTTAGGCAGTCCCAGTGGAGATGTGTTGAAAGAGTACGCATCGTTACCATTTTCCGAATTCGTCAAAGATTCATCTGCAATCTTAAGTAGTTCAGGACCATTAGATTCACCCGAAAAGCACCCCCAATCGCCACTAAAACATGACACATCTGCTTCATCACTTCTTTTGGGTTCAAAAAGTGATGACATTTTAGAAACTTTGAGTTCCAAAATACATGATAAAAGACGTGCAAAAAAGATTTTGAGAAATGGAACGTGGCCACCGGATCATCCAATTAGGTACAAGTTGTGGAAGTTGCTTGCGGAGTTGTTCTCCAAGTTGTTTCATCACCATGAAGTTTACACTGATGCTCTTAGATGTGTCTTTGGGGATGAAAGTTAGTTTGTTTTTCATTATATTTATATTCACTTTTCATATACAAAATTATTTACAGTATAATGTTTTTATAGTACTGTTTATATAAAATTTATTTTAATAAAAATTAATTCAGTGGTTAATAATGGAATAGAGAGCATAGTGACATTGTCGTTGCCATCATTTGTTGATAGAAGATTCATCTCAACACATTACTTATCTTCGAAAGGGGTCCAGGCGGTTCACCGAATCATGGTAGTTATCTCCTTTGAAAGACCTGATGTCATCTACTGCCCAACTCTGTTCTCACTAGCAGCCATCTTGCTGCACTACTTCTCAGAAGAAGAATGCTATTCTTGTGTAAGTTCTTTGGTTACAAAGAAATGTAAAGAAAGATTTGTGACACAGTCAAGAACGGCCTATGAAGCTAGTGGATTTGTGTTTAAAAAGTTGGCGCTGAAGTATTGTGTAAGTGCTGCCATTAAAAGTGGTGTTAACTTTTTTTTCTACTATAATTTGTTACACATAAGCAACACACACACACACACATACATGCATGAATACACAATACGCAAACATAAATTCACACAAACATACGTGCGGCATTTAATTATGCAGAAATCATCGTGTCACTACTTAGAGAGATGTGGTGTTGAGGTGGATGCATTCTTTGAGGATTGGATATTCTGGGTTCTCAATCATCTACCATTCGGACATCTGGTGACCAATATTTAAAAATTATAAATAAAATTTTAATTGTGTGGACATGTGCGTGCGGGTGTGTGCATGTGTGTCCATTTTGTATGTTTCTTTGGTTTCTTTGTATATTGGTGTGTAAGTGTATGTTTGTATGTGTTCTTAGCTATTATATGATTATTATTAACACACACAACAGGTAAGAGTGATAGATTGTTACCTGTACGAAGGACCAAAGATACTGTATAGAGTGGGGCTGGCTATTTTGGTCAACTTTCATAAAAACAGAGGTGTTGATGATGATGGTGGTTAAGAGGATGATGATGGTGATTTAGATGTTGAAATTGATGATGATGCTGAAGCTGTCATTTAATCATATTTTTAAGATTCATTCAAACTATCATTCATTCATCCAAGCATTCATTCAATCCATTCATGGCGTTTCTTCTAATCATTTAAACATATATATTCGTTTTGTTATTCACTCATTCATTCATCCAAACATTCGTTCACTCATTCATTCATTCATTCATTCATTCATCCAAACATTCGTTCACTCATTCATTTATTCATTCATTCTTCAATCCATCGTCATCCGTTAATTTTTCTTATATCCTGCCCAATCTGCAGACCGCTCTGAACCACTGAAGGGTCCAGATGTAGGTAAGAGGATGGAGCTTTACTGTGCCAGCATCAACATTACTCCTAATAAGTTACTCAAGGTTATGATGATGATGATGATGGTGGTGGTGGTGGTGATGGTGATGATGATGATAGTTGGGGGTGATTATGATGATGGTGACAAGAATGATCAAAAACGCACAAACACAAAAAACATAACTTCCACCCCAACAAACAAACAAACAAACGAACAAACAAATGAACGAATGAACAGACAGCATTTGGTTTCCGGGGACTAAGTCGATCACTGATGATGCGTCTAATCACTAAACAAGAGATGTGCGTCTCGTCACGTGACAATGCCGCCATCTTGCAAACGAACGTCCCCTCGTCGACCAGCACCGGTTCTCTGAATATGCTGGTATCAACGACAACGAATAGTCAGTTGTTGTCCAGGAAAGAGGTCTTTTTTGTTGTTTGTTCTTTTTATTATAAAAATAATAACAATAATTATTGTTATTTTGATTAACCATTATCATTGCTATCATTATTATTATTGTTATTATTGCTTGACCTCATTTGCCTGCAAGAGATTGGACGTTATGGTGAACAGGAATCGTTCAAGTTCTCAAGGAAATGAGTTTACATTTGCGTTTGTAAATGTTAAATCTCAAATCATGAAATTTGAACAAGTTATAATGAATGATTGATTGATTGGTGATTGATTGATTGATTGATTGATTGATTGATTGATTGATTGATTGATTGATTGATTGATTGATTGATTGATTGATTGATTGATTGATTGATTGATTGATTGATTGATTGATTGATTGATTGATTGATTGATTGATTGATTGATTGATTGATTGATTGATTGATTGATTGATTGATTGATTGATTGATTGATTGATTGATTGATTGATTGATTGATTGATGAATGATTATAAGTTATAATGAATAAGTTAAGTTATAAGTTATAAGTTAAGTTATAATGAATGATTGATTGATTGATTGGTGATTGATTGATTGATTGATTAATTGATTGATTGATTGATTGATTGCGATCAATCAATCAATCAATTGATCGATCGATTGATTGTTTGGTTGGTTGGTTGGTTGGTTGGTTGGTTGGTTGGTTGGTTGGTTGGTTGGTTGGTTGGTTGGTTGGTTGGTTGGTTGGTTGGTTGGTTGGTTGGTTGGTTGGTTGGTTGGTTGGTTGGTTGGTTGGTTGGTTGGTTGGTTGGTTGGTTGGTTGGTTGGTTGGTTGGTTGGTTGGTTGGCTGGTTGGTTGGTTGGTTAGTTGGTTAGTTGTTTGGCTGGTTGTTTTCTTTTTTTCATCTAGTTTTCTTTTAATTAAAGTTTATTTTTAAAATTTATTTATTTCTTGCATGTTAAGTCTTTGTTTAGTTGCTCAATGGACTTCGTTATTTGTGTTTTTAGTTCTCCTTTTTATAGTTAACATCCGGCACGACGTTTCATTAAATGGAAACCTCTACGACATCCTCCACCCCCCACTTCAATATTCTGTTAAAAATTACTCTGTTCATCTGCTTTGCTACTTTGTTATAATTTCCGCCGATCATTATCTAACTATTAATCAATGTAATCGATTAATTACCTAATTAATTAATCAATATTCATATATGTATAAATTTATTATTCATAAGTGGAAGCGCATTTATGATTGGCTGCCCACGAGAATGACCTTGAAACGACCTAACCTCATATTTTCCACGTCAGAGCATGGGACCAGCCTGATTACTTTTTATAGCAAGATCGAAGGTAATTTATACACGCACACACACGCACACACACATGTACCTACATACAAATTCATAAAACATATAGGTCATGACCCGACCTTGATTGTGATTCAAACATCAACTGACGATCTGATTGGCTGCTACTGTACTGGGGACTGGATAGAAAGAAGAAAAAATTTAGGATCTTCTGGCACTAATTCGAAATATTTCGGCTCCGGGGAGAACTTCGTGTTTACCTTACATCCCAAAACAGCAAAATATGGCTGGGTTGGTTTGTCTGTTAACCTCGCAACTTGCGGAAAATCCCAAAAGATAAAAATAGCTGCTAGTGCTAAAACTATTTCCTGTAGGGAATTACCATTCGGAGATAAATTGGGAAAACCTAAAAATCCGAAAGAGAGGATGATTTTGAATGAGACTCATGAAAAGTCAATCAGTCTTGATGACGACCCCAATGTTATGAAAAATACCAACTTTGAGAACCACCCTAGCGAGGACAACGTAGTCAACACTGCCCCACCGCGTTCCGTTAACGGTCGTAGCACCGTGAATGTTGTTGATGATGATGATAAACATGATGATGATGATGATGATGATTGTAATGAGGCTGCTGGTGCTAATGATGACGATGATGGTGATGACGACAAAGCTATCGTTAACGTGACAGCTGATGACGACCTGAGGAATGTGAAGCTGAAGCCAGGCGCCTCTTTCTTTGCCACTGGAGATTCTTCTAGAATCTCTATTGGCGGGGGGTTAGTTAGAAACTTTTTTTGGAGTATTTTTCTAGGGTTGATCTTTTTCTTATTTTATGTAATTCCTAAATCACGAAAATTCAACAAAAACAGAATTTTTAATATTCATTATTATATCATCATCTAATGTTATACTAACATACACACACACGTACAACTGCACGCTGATCAGTAAATTTAGGCAGGATGTTTTCATTTATACACATTTTGCTTAGTTTGATCCGTGCTGTCAGATTTTTAACTCTTCTCTCTCTTTGAGAAATAATTTAATTTTCTTCAAATTGGTCTTCAGGTTTTTCTAATTTTCACAGATGGCTGGCTCTCTGCGAGTGATTAACCAGCTTGAATCTTTTAATTTTTTTCAAACTGGATTCTAGTTCCCACTATAGAATTTAATTATTATTCAATTTTATAATTGATTTTTCCAGAAATGGTGAGGCCATATATTTGGACGACTGCCTATGTAATGGTTCGACGAATCACTGCGATACGTTCGATAATCCACCCTTGGTGGTCGGGGGTAGGTTCAAAGTTCATATTCTTGAGGTCTTTGAGTTCGTCTGATCTGTCTTTGTCACTAAAATTAAGGAAAGATAGATATGTTTTTGGAGGTTGTTTTTTGATGGGGATGAATTCAAAGAATTTAATATTTGTGAATATTTTTTATTGTTCGTAATTATTCATCTAATCATTTATTTTAAAATTTTAGCATTCTTTCATTTATTCTTATTTATTCAATCATTTATTCATTCATTCCAAATATATATATATACAATATACATACATACATATATATATATATAGAGAGAGAGAGAGAGTTGTGGTGTTAGTGTGATGAAATTTAGTAAAACGTTGTAAAGTTCTATTATCTATCCTGTCAATAAATGCAGCATACACACACACACACATACATACACTCAGTATACATTTGCAAATTGTTTTTTCCGCTCAAAGCTTTCTAGTCTGTGTAACAAAATTTAGCATAATGATTTGTGAATTATTTTTTACGTTTCATAATTTTCCTTCGTCTTCTCTTTCTTACTCTATTTCTACGTCTCACTTTCTCTCTCCTCTCTCTCTCTCTCTCTCTCTCTTTCTCTCTCTCTCTTTCTCTCTTCTTTCTTTCTCTCTATCTCTCTTTCTTTTTCTTTCTACATAGCAACATATAATTTTTTTCTGTTGAATATAATCAAATGTAATTTAATCGTCATATTGTTGATATTAATGTTATTTTCATTGTTATTGTTGCTAGTATGATTTTTATCTGTTATCATTTTTACTAATCTTGTTACCATTATTTTTATATGAACTTATAGTTAATGTAGTGTTGCTGTTGTTGTTATTAGAGTGTTTTATCCCGTTATAAATAAAATTTTTACGTGTATATATTAATATATATATATAAATATATCAATAGATAGATAGATAAATGTTATGGTCCCTCGGTTGAAAGCGCTATTGAGAATGTGAGTTGGGACATTACTGTTCATTTTTAAAGAATTTTATATAAGCTCTCGGTAAGTCGATAAGGTTGTTTGAGCGTCAGATATGACGCAATAACTAAGCTTCTGACTGAGCTGGCTGAGCGTAACTTTACAAAAAAAAATTTCTTAACAACTCGTGGAACCTGACTGGCCCTTGCGGAACCCAGGTTGAAAAACACGGCGTTAATCAATATTTTTCATTTCAATACTGGTGTCATGTGTTTCTTTGTGATATTTAGTAGTTTCTTTTTTCTTCATTTGTCACCCTACCCTATTTTTCAAGCATGAAGTTTACGTGCCGATTTAATGAAATTTATTTTGTGTATAAATTAAAATTTTTTATGCAACTTGCCTTTATACAATAAAAAGCGCACGCATACACTAGCGCAGACCGCCTAAAATTACATAGACAAAAACGTCCATCGGTACTACTCAACTGAAAAAATCGTACAACCAATGAAGCCCATTGAATGAAACGCACTTAGACATAAACGATCATTATTGAATTTGAAGTTAATATAATTTGTCCTGATTAAATCGAACAACGTGGTTCCTTGTTTATCATGGTTATATCAAGTAATAACAAATTGATGGTCTATTTCATTCATACATTTTTCACTCATTTATTACTGATTCTTGTCTATCTTGGTTTTCTTCTTATCTCTGTAATTGTTTTTCTTCTGTTGTTTTCAATAATTCTACTTCTAACTCCTTTACTCTTACTTTCGGGGTACCTCAGGATTCTATCCTTGGCCTTTTTCTATTTATGTTCTACACTTTTGACCTACCTCGTATTATCAATAACTTTTCTTTCTCTAGTCAACTATATGCTAATGATTCTTATATTTATACTTCTTTTCCTCCATCTAATCTCAATAGTGTTCCTCACAATCTATCTCTATGTCTTTCTTCAATTATCGCTTGGTATGACTCTATTTGTCTTAAACTTAATCCTTCTAAATTTGAATTTATTTGTTTTAATAAATCTAAACACTCTATTTCTATTCCTCCTATTATATTATATTACCTGATTCTAAAACTCTTGATGTTTTTCACAAGTTTTCTAGTCTAGTCTTTATCTTTGATTCTAGCATGTCACTTTCTTCTCAGATTAATAGTGTTGCTAGAAGTTCTTACTTTCATCTACGTAGAATAAAAAACTTTTGCCTTTTCTTGACGATCCTTTTCTTCTTGTTACTTCGTTAGTCTTATCTAGGATTGATTATTGTAACTCGCTCTACTATAGTCTTCCTGATTCTACATTCTATCCTTTAAGTAATGCTTTTAACTCTGCTGCTCGTCTAATTGCTCGTGCCCCTTTCTTTTCTCCATATCTTGTTCTCTTACACTGGCAAATATACAATCAAATATAGAACTCTCTACCTTCTTCTCTGACCACTCTCCATCACTTACGAACTTCAGAGCGGACCTCAAGATCCATCTGTTTGCAATATTCGCTTAGGAGAGCTGTTGAACATGGCGGAAATATCGTTTTATAAACTAATTGATTGATTAATTGATTCACATTAAACTTCATTTTCTATATTACTTTGAATTAATTATTAAAAATATCGTTGAGCTATTTTGCTTATTATTGTTTTGGCATTATTATGTAACTGTATCAATTTTTTTTATTGGTTTGTACACATTCCATACATCTTCTTATAGTATTAATACTACGTTGCACAGTGTAGTATTGTTAAACAAGGTAACTGTTAAACAAATAATTTGATGTGTGCTTGTATTTGGTGTAATATGGAGATGTTTAAAAATTTATGTCAGGCATTTAATGTTTCCCAAATTGGTGTATGGTGAGGGTGTTTGTTTTCAATTATGTGGAGTGTAGGCAATACTTGATGTTCCAATAAGTTTTTCATTGTTTAATTATTACATTACTCTAATCCTTGGAAGTATATTTTTCTGTTGAGTGTTGTTTGTGAGTTTTCTGTTTGTGAACTTTTTTATTATGAGTGATGAAATAATATCTGGGTCGGTCGTCGTGGCTCGGAGTTAGGTTCACTCTCGTTATAAAAGTACGTGTTCGTAAACTGGCAGCCGCTAAATCACTAATTTCACTAATTTTTTGGGTCAAGTTAGATTTTTTGTATCTTCAACGTTGCCGTAAAAAATAATCCATGGACCTAGACGGCACTTCTGATCAGGTGGTCGAATTTAATTTTTTTAGTTATTTTATTTATTATGTTAAAACTTAATTTTATTTATCTTCTTATATTTTTTAAATTTTATTATAATGTAAAATTTTTTTGTTTTAATAAATAAAATTATTATTTTTAATGATTGGTATAAAATGGTATTTTATAATAACTTCAATGTAAATGATAAGCTTAATTTTAACAAAAGTAAATTAAAATTAATGATTACATTTTTTTATTTAATTTAAAATTTAAATAAACAAGGTAATGTTGCACTATTTATTTATTATTAATGATCTTAAAAAATTTGCTGTCTAACTAACAAAACCTACAAAAAGATGTTGATTGAATTCTTGAAAGAAGACTCAGATGATGGTTTATTGTTAGGAACATCTGGGGGGTCCAAAATTAATAATACTAACGTTAATGATAATAATAAAAGTTATAATTATAGTAGTGCTAATAGCAAATTTAATAAGTCCACTTTCAAACAGCAGGTTTTTTTTCTCAAACATAGATAGATGATAGATGAATGAATTTCTGACTTTTAAAAAAAATTTATTGATTGGTTGGTTTGTTGGTTGACTGGTTTGTCAGTTTATTGATTGATTGACTGATTGATTTTTTCAAAATAGTTATTCACTATTACCGTAGAGTTTCACTTTATTTTGATCAGTAAATAATATATATTGTTGTTATAATTATTTATTTAGTTTAATCTTAATGTTAATAACTTTTTAACAACATTAAATTAATGAAGTCATTTCTTTTAAAATTTTGTTTCTGTTCTTATAATTTGTTAGGAATTTTATTTTTAATTTGATAGTCTTCGATCAATCTTTAAATAATGCACGTTAAATTCAAATGTAAATTCATTACTTACATTCAATTAATCATTTTATATGATACATACTAGATAAATACATATATGTGTTTTTGATATAAACAACACAGAAACATGCACACATATATACACACACAGATCCACGCATATATACATACATGCATACACACACACAAACACACCTACATACATACATACATACATACATACATACATACATACATACATACATACATACATACATACATACATACATACATACATACATACATACATACATATGTACGTACGTACATACATACATACATACATACAGCCACCATCACTATCGTCATTCTATGACCAGACCCATCTGTTAATTGATGAACCACTTGAAGGTGAAATTAACGTTCCATTATCGCCCACATCTTCCGGCAGAGGCCGCCATGACAGATTAAACAACATAGAAACAACAGCAGATGTCGAAAATGGAAATATTAATTTAGATGATTTTAATACTTTGGATGAGCCTGTTAGAGCCACCATTGTTAGTTTTTTGAGGTTATTTTGATCGAGATATATTTGATTGACTGAAAAATTTATTCATTCATTTATTCATTTGTCTATTTATGCATTTTTTAGTTACTTGTTTGACTTATTTTATCTTTTGATTAACCAACAGCTGGTTAATTGAATGTTTTTTTGCCTGATTCTATAATTGACTAATTAAATGATTTATTGATTGATCGGTCAATTAATTGAAGTTTGATTGAATGATTGATTGATTGATTGATTGATTGATTGATTGATTGGTTGGTTGGTTGACATATTTATTCTCACCCCCACCCAGACACGTGATCTGAAAGCAGTTGGGAAGAAATTCATGCACGTTTTATATCCAAGAGAGAGTAGATCACTACTGAAAGATTGTTTGTTGTTGTCGATGATGATGTTGTTGTTGATGATGATGATGATAATATTCATTTCTAATAAGTTTACTTTTAAAAGTTTTTCAATTTTTTTTATCTAGGGGACCTTTGGGGACCATTGATGTTATGTATATGTCTTGCTGTGTAAGTTCTTTGTTTCTATAAACATATAGTTTTTTTATTTCAGATTTTTGTTTCTTCTTTGTCTTTGTATAGATTTTTTGTATGTATGTTTTTTGTTTTTGTTTATAAGCTCTTTGTTTTTATACATACGTTCTTTGTTTTTGTTTATCTAGTTTTTCTGTTTGTATCTAATATCTGTAATTGTACCCAATTATCATTGTTCTCTACAAGTTCTTTGTACTTGTTTAGAATCTTACACGAGGACACAACATCAGCAACTTCATTATCGTTCGACTCGTCGGGACCGCAGTTTGCAGAGGTCTTCATCGTCTATTGGATCGGCGCCGCCATCGTTACGCTGAACATCAAACTGCTCGGTGGCTCTATGTTAGAGATAATTATGCTTGGAATGAATGAAGGAATGAATTAATGAATGATGGAATGAATTAATGATTGGTGATTGATTGATTGTTAATATTTTAACAATTAGGTTTGAGATTATGTATGTAATCGGAAAAATTTCTTTCTAATTAGATCGATATTCCAAGGAGTCTGTGTTCTGGGGTACTGTGTTCTACCTTTGGCCGTAGCTGCGCTGGCGTGTAGTCTTTTGCTAGTGGCCGGCGATAATACATTCATTTTTGTCGTCAGATGTATTTTTGTTTTTGCTTCTTTGGTCTGGTCTGTTTTTGGTAAGTGTTTATGTGTGTGTATTTGTAAAGTAATGTAATTATTAATTATATTATTATAAATCATAATTTTTTTCATTATTACTATTTATTATGAGTCATAATTTATTTTTATTGATTTTTTTGTTATAATTGCCAGCTTCCACGGCGTTTTTAGCGAATTGCCAGCCCCCAAGACGAAAGCTGCTGGCCGTTTATCCAATTTTTTTGTTCTATTTTTTTCTCAGCTGGATTGTATTGCTTAATAAATAAATTAAAATCAATTATTATTATTATTATTATTATTATTATTATTATTATTATTATAGTTATTTATTATTATTATTTTCCAGTTATTATTGCTTTGCAGTTATTTGTTTTTGTTGTAGCTGGTTTACAATATAACTGGTTTTAATTGAAAGTTGACGTTTAATTTGTGTTTAAAATCCGTAAATAAGTGATGGTTTCATTTTATCAGTAAAATTGTTCACGATATCTCATAGTGGGTTGTATTTCATTCATTCTTTCGTTCGTTTGTTTGTTCACTCATTCATCCATCCACCCATTCATCTATCCATTCATTCATTCATCTATCCATTCCTTCATCTGTTTGTTCATTCTTTGAACTGTCACTCAAATGTTTTAACTCAACAACTAACATCATTGAATCCAATGTTAATTTTAACGATAACTGATGTAATAAATTGATTCATCCGAACAACTTAACACATTAACACACATTTCTATTACATTTAATTTTAATCCCATTTAATCCGGATATTTGAATAACCCGGACATTTTGTAGTAATAAACTTCAAACGTTATTTTTGCAAGTTCGTTTCGCACGATGCGTTTTCAACTCACTTAGTGAATACGAATATGAATACGATAATGAACACGACGAGACCCAGCTCCTGCTTGCGCAAACCTTTCATCATACCAGGCAACTCCGAATTTCGGATAAGGGGGCTGGCAAACAGAAACGACTCAGTAACTTTTTGAAATAGCGGCTTCATGATAGTGAATTGTAGGCGCGTCTGTGATTGTTGCCACACTATTCTAACTTTCCCAAGAAAACTGTCACGATCTGGCCACGTTTTCTGCCTAGCCTGTATTTCTGATTTTGAACGATCGACAACATCATAAGCTCTCCAACAAACATCTGCCACGGCATCGGAACAAAAGAAAAAATTTCAGAACAATAGCAGTAGTATAGCGAGAATAATCAACGTTATTCGAACAAATGCTAACTATTGCTCAATTACAAACGTCGGAACCTCAACGACCCCAAACCATCATCGCCCGATCAAGCAGCAGCTGCAGCGTCATCCACAAATATCCACACTAGCGACAACAGTATCTCAACAACAACAAAAACTGTCCTTACACTACAGGCCTTTATTTAAAGAAATCTTCGAAACAATCATCAAAATGGCAACGTTCGAGCCATTCACTTCGTGTATATATGGTAATCGTTAGTAGGTGGATGGTTGTAAAAATTTGTACAACTTTATTCATTTGTTATATATATATATATATATATATATATATATATATATATATATATATATATATATATATTGTTGGTTTTATGTTCATCGTACATTGTAGTAGCTAAATGGTTAACGAATCAGCTTCTTATACAGCACTGATCGGGTTAAAATGCAAAGTAATCACAGTTTGTTACTTGCTTAACTGAAGTGTTCTATTAGTTGAAAATTGTGTAATAATTGCTAAAAATTGTCATTAAACATTGTACTTGACGTGAGCTATCAATGTATTTTTATAGCGTAATTTTTTCAGTTCATCTATAAATTTTTTAAATTCAAAAAGTTATACGGCTCTTTATAACTTTACTTTTAACACCGTGGAGTTTGATAAAGTTTTGTCTTATCTAAACGTGATTTTCGTGTGTTACTAATCTTTTATTTAAATTAATAATATTATTCGTACTTAAATTTAAAATAATGTTAAAATTGTTCCATTTTTTACATTCCACTGAAACTGTCGCTTCCTTTCAAAGATTTTGTGGCATCCGAATAATTAGGGACCTAGACGATGATGATAACGAGGGTGAAGTCTGTAATGATGATGGCGACGATCGCGTTTGTAATGGCGGCATTTTGACGGCCACTTCCAGCAGTCAACAAAACTGTACCATTGATGAGTGTGAGAAAATGGCCTCAGAAGATGATGAAAACCTATCAACATTGAAAGATGATTTGAAGATCAGTGGTTTTGAAGGTGGCAGAGGTAATAATAATACTAATAATTTAAGAAAGAGAAACTTCCCAAATGTTAGTTCTACCTTAACAAATAATAATAAAATAAATGGTGGTGGAGATAAATTGAATAAATTTAATAGTGGTTCAGATTCTCCTATATCTTCGTTGACTGATATTGACAAGTTGCTATCCTACTACTCACAACACAAGTACGAAATTGAAGTTGGCAACTTATTTCTCTACTATCTCTTCTGTTTTGCAACAAGTTTGGGTGATGAGATCTTCTACATATCCTTTTTTCCATTCTGGTTTTGGAACATTGATGGCTATGTTGGCAGACGATTGTGTATTTTCTGGGGTGCCTTCATGTATTTAGGGCAGGCCACTAAAGATATTTTAAAAATTCCCCGACCAACTTCACCCCCTGTTGTTAAATTAGAAAAAAGGTACTCGCTAGAGTATGGAATGCCATCAACTCATGCAATGGTTGGGGCTGGACTGCCATTTGGTATTTATTTCCTAACTCGAGATAGATATCTTGTAAGTTAGAGAGATTTCATTTTGTGACCTTTGGTTTCATTTCAATTTTTCTTTCAAATTTCTATTTTTTGCTGTATATAAACAAATTAACAAAATTCTTTTTTAAGGATAGTTAATAGCTAAATTTTTTTGGTTTTGATTATTATTTGCTATTTATTATAAAATTTGATCTTCTATTTCACATAAAAATGAATTAATTTATTATTATTTTAAAATAAAAACACAAAGATGAACACTAATTTTTTAGTTTCCTTCAATGGTGACTTTATCTGGTGCCATCATCTGGTGCTCCGTCGTCTGCCTCAGCAGGATCTACATGGGGATGCATACATTGCTTGTTAGTTAGGTGGTTGGTTGGCTGGCTGGTTGGTTGGCTGGTTTGATGATTGATTTATTAGAAGTATGTTCATTTAGAGATAGATATACATTCATGATCAGTCTGGTTTTTTTATTAAATTATAAAAGATATGAATACGTATTATCCACACAGGATATCGTAGGAGGCCTGCTGTACGTTTTCTCACTCATGTTCGTTTGCTTCTACTTCTCAATCCTTGACAAGGTCGATTATTTTGTACTGCACGCCTCTCTACCTTCACTGATTGTAACATGCTTGCTCATCCCCATCTGCTTGTGTCTCTTCTACCCCCTGGACAGAAACACCTGGTCCACATCCAGAGGTGACACGACCATCATCATAGCCGTCTGCTCCGGTTCTCTCATCTCTCATTGGCTAAATTATAATCTAGGTCAGATGAATCCGGCGCCGGCAGGACATTTTACGAATCACGGAAATGAAACCAGGCCGATATTATCCTCTCCTCCCTATCCTGTGCCACCTCTGACTATGGAATGGGCCCTCCTGACTGCTTCTAGAACTCTCATTGGCCTGATTGTGTTAGTGATAGTGAGGCTCATAGCTAAGGGGTTCTCACTGTGGGTTCTGAATAAAATCGCCATGCGTTGGACCAGTAGTAGCGGGAAGAAGAATGGAGGTGGTCGCATAAATTATGCTAATGAGGTCGATGGTGGTGGCGATTGTAGCGGCGGTAATAGTGGCAGTGGGGATAGTGTGGCTGTCGTCGATCGCAAAAGTTTGATGATTGAACTGCCTTACAAATTTTTCACATATTCCGTTTTGACTGTGTGCGGTCTGGTTGGTTGTCCCGCGCTCTTCAAGTTGCTCTATGTTGAGAGGGAAACTTATTTTACTGAATTGTGATTGGTTGAGAGAGAGAGAGAGAGAGAGAGAGAGAGAGAGAGAGAGAGAGAGAGAGAAGAAAGACAGAGGGAGAGGAAGAAAGTTATTTTTGATATACAACAAAAATTTTATCCATCTATTTATACTTTAATGTCAGTAGTTTATTTTCATACAGCTGCAGCTGCACTCTATATATAAGTATCTTTTAAATCTCTAATTCGGAAATTTTTATAATTATTTAGTTTAATTTATAATTTTTCTTCCTTTTTCCTCCCGATTTTTACGACTGTTATTACTTATTTGTATGTTATTTATATTCTTTGATTTCTGGACGACGTATTTTATTAGTTGGCTCGTTTATTTATTAATTCACTCATTTATTTAATATTCATTCGTTCAGTTGTACGTTCATTCATTCATTCGTACGTTCATTCATTCATTCACTCTGTTAATCATTGGTTTATATATCAGCTAATTATGATTTCAAACTTGCTGTTGCAATTCATTTTTGTTGTTATCTATGATATTATTGAAAGGCTACCGTATGATCTGATCTCTCGCCTGTTTAAGATGGTTTTGTTCGTTCATTCATTCGTTCATTCATTTGTTCATTCACTCAGTAATAAATTAATTCATTCGTTTGTTCATTGTTATTTGTTTAATTCATTAATTCATATGACGGATATTTACTTGGTCGACCATTTATTCAACCAGTATTCTTTCGGGTGTTATGAACGGTATTGGTCAAGCTAATTATTGTCGTTGCCATTGTTGTCGTTGTTGTAATTGTTGTCGTTGTTGTTGTTGTTGTTTTATTTTTCAATTTCGTAGACCAGTTTCGCTTCCAATCAAAAGTTTCCTTTGATATATTTGGTATAATTAATTAAAAAATTATTCGTTTAATAAAAAAAAATGAAATTTTTTTGACTTGAACATTCGCTGGAAACTTGAACAAAGTGGAAAATGGTCTTAACGTGTTTGTATTGTATCATACATTCAGTATTAGCAGGTAGATCTTTTATTTTATCGGCATTTCATAACTAATATAATTTTGTTGCTACTGCTGCTACTACTGCTGCTGCTACTACTACTATTCTATTACTACGGACACTTCTAGTACTATTACCACAAGTACTGCTATTCTAACTGGTGCTTTTTGTAGTTGCAGCAGCGTAAAACGTCATACACATTTACAATGTTTGTCAATATCGACTGAATAATATAAGTAATCGCGAATACTACAGCTGCTACTACTACCGCTACTGCTACTACTACACTTCTTCTACTTCTACTACTACCGCTACAACTACACACACAAGACAACGACGACGACAAAGGCAGCAACAGCACCAACAAGACATAGGGGAAATTTTGTGTTGTGCACTACTATGTCGTACGGAGAGCAGGTTATACAATCTTATGTGTACGCTATGCGTATGTATATAAATGCATGCACGTATGCATTTGTGTATATAATGGATATATATGTACATGTATGAATGTATGCACGTCATGCTTGTACGAATGTTATATACGAGTGTGTTTGTATGTATGTTTGTATGTATGTTTGTATGTATGTATGTTTGTATGTATGTATGTTTGTATGTATGTATGTATGTATAAAAGTGTCTGGAATTAGATGAAATGATCATCAAGTCAATTGGAATTCTAATTATAAAGAAGTCTTGTCATGCCATGGATCGCTACTATTTATAATTAATATTAGTAATAATTATATTAATTATATATATATAATATATATTATAAATAAATATATATATATATCCTTGTAAATATGTAGTAATGATATAACGATAAAAATTAGTAGTGAAGGTAAGTTACGTTGGGATTGTGATAGAAAGATTGTTTGATTGAATGATTGATTGATTGATTGATTAATTGATTGATTGATTGATTGAGTGAGTGAGTGAGTGAGTGAGTGAGTGAGTGAGTGAGTGAGTGAGTGAGTGAGTGAGTGAGTGAGTGAGTGATCGATTGATTGATTGATTGATATATTTTATATTAATTATTAATACATTAATGTATATGTTCATGTATGTGTATGTGTATCTGTATAAACATATATGTGTGTTTATTTGTGTGTTTGTGTGTGTTTTTGTACAACAACATCGTCATGCCAACGTCATCATTACATCATCACCTCATCCTCATCATCACAACATCATCATCATCATTACAGCCACATCAACAAACCAATGGCCAAATATATATTGACATCATTTTAATTAGTTTAACTTATTAATTATGCAAGCATTTAGGTCAAACTTCTTTCCCATTAATATGAATGAGCTATATATATATATATATATGTATGTATATATATATATATATATTTGTGTGTGTGTGTGTTTGTATGTTTCGTTTTGTTTAATACATGTCTTCAGAAAGGTATTGTATTCAGAAGCCTTGATTAAAATATTAAACTGATCGAAATAATAACTTTATTTAATACTATCACTATGAATGATGTTGTTGTTGTTGCTTCTACTACTTCTGCTGCTGTTGTTGTTGCTGCTTCTACTACTTCTACTATTACTACTACTACTACAATAATTACTTTATCATCATTATCGCCATCATATATTAACATGCAACCGTCCGTTCAAGCGATACACGTACATATATACAAACACATGCAAACATACATACACAAACATACATACACACACATATAAACATACATACATGCATACACACAAATACAAACATACATACTTTGGCCTTTAATTTATTTATCTTTTGGGAAATTTAAATGGACAAATGAACTAATAAATACCTAGGCATCTTTTATGCATGCATGCATAAATGTGTGTGTATGTATGTATATGTATGTTTGTGCTTGTGTGTGTGTGTGTGTGTGTGTGTTTGTATTCACTTAGGCATGCATGCATGGATGTGTTAATCTAATAACGTCCATAGCATCATTTAACTTTGATCAATGTAATGAGATGATATTGCTGTGGTGATGATGCTGCTATCAAGTCATCGTCATCATAACCGGCCTCATCATCATCATCATCTGCAATATCATCATCAACAACATCATCATCTTCGCTGCGAATTTTACAAAGGTATCAAATTTGTTTAGACTAATTATTATTATGAGCTAATTATAAAATAAAAAGAAAAAAACATCAATTTATTCGTTCGTTCATTTATTCGATCATTCATTCGATCATTCATTCATCTATCATTCAGTCGTTAATTCATTCTTTCATCTATCCATCCATCCATTTGCGCGTTTGTATCATATCTCTCTCTTCCCTCTCTATCTCTTTTTCTATCTTTTTCTCTCTCTCTTTCTCTAAATAAATAAATATATATATATATATATATATATATATATATATAATTTTATTACCATAATTACTCTTATTATCTTATTAATAGAGTTGTTATCGGTCATACATTGCAGGGTTTAGAGTTCATAATCCAAAATTAGCCAACAACGTCAACATACTGAACAACAACAACGCAACAACAACAGTAATAGTATTAATACTACCTCAATAACAACAACATCAGCAGCAGCAACAACAACAACGAGACAACGTCAACTACCTCAGAATTATAAATGACGCCGCAAACTACAATAACATAAGACCAGTATTATTGAAAATTACAAGTTATTTAATCAATAAACAAACCAATCAATCAATCGATCAATCAATTGGTCAACCAACCAACCAATCAGCCAACTAACCAATCAGCTAGCCAATCAGCAAACCAGCCAATCCACCATGCCCCCAACGAAGAAGACATTCTGTTGGTGTTTTAACGGAAGTGCTAACTCGGTCCCGGAGATTTCTTACAACGTAGAAAATGGCGGAATGACCTTGAAAAAGATTGAACTCAATATTCCAATGCCGGAAACGGAAGAGGAGGTGGACAGAAAATTTACCGAATTAGTGGTTAGCAAATCTTTATTTTTTTCATCTTTCCTCTGGCAAACTTTGTAATTTTTATTTTAAAAGGATATTTTGGGGTTAATTTGCACACACACACACACACACACTCACACACACACACACACACACACACTCACACACAGGATGAGTTAGGCCTGGACAGACTGCACAGGCAGGCAATGTTCGAATTGCCGGCTGAGAAAAAGTGGCAGATATATTGCAGTAAGAAAAAGGTGAATTAAATATAATAATTATAATAATAAATATAATTATTATGACAGTTATAATTATTAATGATGTACATAACAAGTATTGGTCTTGCTAGATTTGTATAAAGGCCTTTACTTATAATTTTTGAGTGATAATGAATGAATGAAATGTATGTATATGTATTGTAAATAATAATAATAGCAATCATCTTTATTATTATAACATAATAAATCATAATAATAGCAAAATACATCATCGACTAATACACATGTCAATGTTAAATTTTGGTTAAAATAGCTTAATGTATATATCGAGGTGAGTTTATTATGAAAAACAAATTTATTATTATTATTATTATTATATTATCATTACCACCATCGTCAATCGTCTAATTAGGACTGTTGAAGTGTTGTCAGCATCGTTGTATGGCATTGATTTCATAATTGATTGACATTCTATCTATGTATATCATTTATTGCATAATTATTAATAATAATAACTATTATTATTATTATTATTATTAATATAAGTATTTATGCGTTTATTATTAGTATTTATAATTATGGATAGTTAGATAGAAAGTTACGATTCGGCTGTTATGATTATGATTACGATTAATCCAAAGGTCATTGAATTAAATTTGTCTTATTATTGTTATAATTATTGTTGCTATTATTATTACTGCTTGCGGATGGCTTATTGTATGAATCTTAGCTTATGATTCAATGCTTTACTGCAGGGGTGGGCAAACTTTTTGCTGTGAGGGCCGCGTTGAGAACTGTTTTACCTTTGAAGAGCCGCATATGTACTTAAGAAGCAAATTTTTTCGACCCGGGAAAGAAGTTTTTCAAGATTTGTGGCTCCGTTTTTTTGGTCATAATGTCTGGCTGACTGATGGCTCTTTTTTTTGGCGAAGAAGGAACAAAGACTCGCTAACCGCATAAAATAGTAGTTTGCCCACCCCTGCTTTACTGCTATAGTTTTTAAAAATGATTTTTTTATAAAAAGTTAGGACGACGACAAACAAACGATAATAATAATAATTAATGATAATACTGCAGAACCACGTAGAACCAAATCTGTCGGCCAGTCCGGCTTACTACATCAGTAAGATCAACGCCATGACAAACGTTTGATTATAATTTTATTTCGCCAATATTTCTCTCTCTCTCTCTCTCTCTCTCTCTCTCTCTCTCTCTTCCTTAATAGGCGTGTAGATATACATCACCAAATTTTATTTTAAAATAAAGGTATTACAGTTAAAAGAACCCAACGTTAGCGAAGTTGGCAATAACATTTACACTAACAACAACAACATTATGATTAGGATTCAGCTGATTGACAGTTTGAGGACGGCCCTGAAAACCCAGACAATGAGTTTTGTTATTAGGTAAGTAGGTAGGTAGGAAGATGTGTGTTGTATTCAATTTTCTTCTATTATTCTCTAGTTTTCTGATTATCGTTTCTTCTCTCTCTCCCCATTTCTCCCTTTTTTTCCCTATCTCTCTTTCTCTCCTTTTCATCATCATCATTATCACCACCATCATCATCGTCTTCGTCGTCATCTTAGGTTTATCGAATTGCGTGGTTTCGAAAGCTTGCTGAGATTGATCGAGCGGAGAACATCACGTGATTATTTCAACGTCATCAACAGCAACAACGATAGAAATGATGACGATTACGATGATGACGATGATGATGACGGTAACGTGGGGATTACTCATTCGGTCATCGGATGCATTAAAGCGCTCATGAATTGCAAGGTTGGTTTGTGTTTGCCGATCAAAAAATACTCAACATCACCATTCACACGCACACGTTCACACACGCACACGTTCACACACACACACACACACACATATATATATATATATATATATATATATATACACGCACACTCATATCTCTAATTCCGTCAGGAAGGAAGATCCCAAGTTTTATCCCATCCGGATGGCATAAAGATAATAACCCAGAACTACTATTCGCCTAATCAAAAAACAAAAATGGCGGTCCTGGAAATATTAGGCGCCCTCTGCCTGGTCCCCGGAGGGCATAAAAAGGTTTTGGAAGCCATGAATCATTTGAGAGATTATATCGGAGAGAGAACGAGGTTTCAGGTGAGGGGGATTGCTATTATCTATTGTCACTAGTTCGTTGGTTTGGTTGTGATTAATATTTTTTGTTACTATTACTACTACTACTACTACAACTACTAAAACTGCTGCTGCTGCTGCTGCTGCTGATGACGATGATGATGATGCAGCAGCTGATGATGATGATAAGAAAAATAATTATAATTTTCTTTTTTTTCCAGACATTTATAAATGATTTAGATCAAACCGTGCGGGGTGATTACAACGACTGCATCACGTTCAAAACGTTGATCATGTCTTTTATCAATGCGTCACTAAAGTATGGAGACTGTGAGGTCATTATTGCTGTCGTTGTTGTTGCTGTTGTTGTTGTTGTTGTTACTCTTGTTGTTACTCTTGTTGTTGCTATTGTTGTTCATAGACTTATCAATATAATATGATTTTTGTACCAGTCAACACATCGTTATTGGATGAGTTATAAACGACTGCAACAGATACAACAATGGTATTTGTAATAACAACAACGATAATAATAATAATTAATGATTATTATAATTATTATTATTATTATTATTATTATTGAAGACTAGCATAGATTTAAGACTGCACCTTCGCTACGAGTACCTCATGCTCGGGCTGATTCCCACCATTGAGAAGTTGAAGAAATACGCAAACATCAATCTGGACAGGTCAATTATTCCCATAATAATAATATTTATAATAATAATAATAATTATTATTATTATTATTGTTGTTGTTGGTTTTACAACTTTAATATTAATTTTATCGTTCATATTTTTCCCTCTCACCTTCAGGCACATCAATTTTTTTGAGATGATCAGAAATGAAGATGAAAAGAGTTATGCCAAGAAGTTTGACACTGTTAGCTACTACTACTACTACTACTACTACTACTACTTCTGCTGCTACTACTACTACTACTACTACTACTACTACTACCTCTGCTGCTGCTACTACTACTACTACTACTACTACTGCTGCTACTACTACTACACTACTACTACTACTACTACTATAACTGCTACTACCACTATTACAGCTACTGCTGCAAAAATACTACTACTACAGCTGCTACTGCTTCTACTACTACTACTACTGCTATTACCACAACTAATACTAATACTCCTAATACTAATACGGTAAAAAAATTTAGATTCATATAGATTCAAAAAGTTCAACGGCCATGTTGGAATTACTGAAGAAAAAATTGATGCACTCACCATCCTACTACCACTTGCTGTCTATCTTATTCCACCTCATTCAAGTTACCAGTTAGCAATAGTTAACTGTTACTAATCATTATTATTTTTATTATCAATAATATTACTTCTACCGCTAATACTACCATGCTGCTGCTACTACTTTGCTAGCCAATCTTTTTCATTTTGTGTTGTAAGTTCTTGGAATTAGTTAGGAATTAGTGTAGATGATTTAATTTTATTTTTTTGCACAAGGTGGACCTCCTAAATCGTCCTCCAACATCTGGAGGCTGATTGACATGGTGGTCCAACAGATTGCAATCCAAAATAAAAACGGCGATCCTGATGTCAAAGTATTTGACTTGGATGTCAAAAAGTTGTCTAAACAGTTAGTTGGAATTGTGATTATTTCATTTTTTTGTATTTTTTGTGATTATTTTTTGTCGTGATGTTAAACTCTGAATAAATTATGTTAATGAAAAATTTAAACTTTGTCTTGTAGTCATAATATATAAGGTTATCAATATTTAATTTCACTGTTGAAGATTAGCAGATGAATCTGCCTTTGAAGAAGTCAGCAAGAAGTTGAAGGTTACCATGAAAGAGGTGGAAGACCTGACAAACAAACTGAACAAGAAGGAGAGAGAGTGTGACATCAAATCAAAAGAAAAGGTTTCTTCTAAAAAAAATTGCAAACAATTACCAGATACCACACACGTTTCATATTTTCAAAAAGAAAGACGTATATGAAGACAGATAAAAACAGAAAATTTGTTTTCATTTTATTTTATTTATAGTAATCGGCCCTCTAATTTCTAATCTAACTAAGATTGCACATAAAAAAACCGTAATTTTAATAATTTAATATTTTAATTAGTGTAGAATTTTCACTCGAGAGATTTAAAACAAAATTCTCATTAAAATGCAGGAGGAAATTATGCAGACGCTGACAAAAATGCGTCAGAAAATGGAGAAAGACTCGCAAAACTGCAGCACCCAGCTGGACAACATGGCCGCAAGAATCCGGGAATTGGAACGGCTGCTAAGCAACGAAAGAAGCCAACGAACTCAACTCGAATTGGCCGTGAATACCGGAAGTCTACCTGATGACGCGAAGGTAAGTTTTTAAATTTGAACTTAAGTTAATACTTAATAATTACAAACAGATTATGTCAATTTATGTACGAATTATGATGGTGTTCTGTTGAAATATGTTAATGAGGCGTTTTTAATCAGTGAATTGTGTATGTATTGATGCAAATGGATGAACTTTTATTTATGAATTTTTGTTAAAAATCAGACGTTAAGAGACACAAAATACTTATTCACTAATGTCCTAACTTAGGTTGGACTAACAACTAATTCGTTCCTAGCATCGCCGTCTTCGCCACCTCGTATAAAACCTCACGACGACCACAAAGAGCACGCCCCTATTCCACCCCCACCTCCCCCACCTTTATGCCCCCCTCCTCCGCCTTTGTTGGCAACCGCCTCAAATAGGGCAAAATTAGGGAGAGCCAGTAGTAACAGTAACTACTGCAATATCACCGGACCAATAGGAAGCAAGGTGCTTTCATTGGAATTGATTGCTTTCTTTATTGTGAAATTATTTAGCGCGTTATTAATTTTCATTTTTATATCATCATCATCATCATCATCTTCATCTTCATATTCATCATCATCGTTGTCATTGTCATCATTTTCACGTCCCAATGAAGTTAAGAAACATTCCGGAAGCCAGCCAAGCAATGAAGAGTTTCAATTGGACAAAACTGGCCGACAACAAAGTCGATGGGACGATATGGATGGGTGTTGACGAAAGTAATGTAAGCTAACCTGTCTGTGGTTGGCTGGCTGTGTGTGATTATTTGGCTGATTGTGGCTGGTTGGCTAGATGGGATTGAATGGTTTTGAATTTGATTAACTGGTTCTTTCTTTGTTATTCGTTCATTAATGGATCTCTTCAGCATCACATTACTCTTGTTCACATTAAATTAAACTGAAATAAACGAATCTTCAATCATCAAACCATCTAAACTCAGGTCTACAAAGCAATTGACTTAGATGATTTCGAGAAAAACTTTTCAGCTTATCAGAGGCAAGACATAAACGACGTCGACCAATCACAAGTCGGCACGATAACGAGGCAGCCAATAGCAAAAGCCCGTGAACTCTCGGTCATCGATGGTAGACGGGCTCAAAACTGCACAATACTACTATCGAAACTTAAAATGACCAATCAGGAGTTAGCGACGGCAATTTTGAATGTTGATGAGCATGAAGAGTTGCCTAAAGATATGTGCGAACAGGTTGCTGCAGTAGGAATTTTTTAAAATAATTTTACCTTTTTATTGTATTGCTGTTTGTGAAACCACCATCATCACTCGCAACAACAACAACAACATAATCATCATCACTCGCAACAACAATAACAACATCATCATTATCACCCGCAACAACAACAACAACAACATCATCATCATCATGATCACTCAGCTGTTGAAGTTCCTCCCAACTCCAGAAGAGACACAAATGTTGGAAGATCACGCTGCTGAACTGGAACACATGGCCAGGGCTGATAGATTTCTGCTAGAAATGAGCAGGTGATGATAGTGATGACGCCGATTATTATTATTGTTGTTGTTTTGTTGTTGTTGCTGTTGTTGTTGTTGGCCCTACAACACCACGCCACCTATTTACACAATAATCCCCTCACCAACCAACCAATCACAACACAATAAAATGACTTCCGCATCACGCCAACCAATCAGAATCGACCACTATGAGCAGCGTCTAAAAGCCCTCGACTGCAAAAAGCGTTTCACCGAGCGACTAACTGACGTTAGGCAGCGAATTTCAGCCGTCACAACTGCCTCCAATGACGTCATCAATAGCCGGAAGTTAAAAAAGATTCTAGAAGTTGTTCTGGCCGTCGGGAACTATATGAACAGAGGACAGAGAGGTTGAATATAATCGAATAAATGAATAAACGAACGAACCAATAAAGTTCGTTCACAAAAGTACACAAATTGCGATAACCAATCAATCAATCACATTAAAGTATTTGTATTTCGACAACCAACCAATCGCATTAAAGGAAACGCTCCAGGATTCAAATTGTCAAGTTTGATGAGGCTAGCCGATACGAAATCCAGTATAAATAAGAAGGTCACCCTGCTGCATTACCTCGATGACGTCATTGAAAATAAGGTTGACGGCATTTGATTGGCCGGCTGGCTGGCTGGCTGGTTGTTTTGATTGTTTGGATCTGATTCGTTGTTCTGTACAGTTGGTTGGTTTCGAATGATTGGTTTTGATTTGGTGATTTTGGATAGATGGCTTGGTTTGGATTGACTGATTTTTTAATGAATGAATGAATGAACGAGCGAAGATTAAATGAATGAATGGATGAATGAGTAAATGAATAGCTGAATGAAAGAGTAATCAAAATATTAAACAGTTTCCTGATCTGAGCTCGGTTGAAGATGAAATAAAAAGCGTCAAAGATGGAGCTAAAGTCAAGTTTGTGATGATGACGACGACGATGATGACGACGATGTTACTGATAATGATGATGTTACCGATATGCTGGTAATGATGATGATGATTTCTATACAGTTTAACAGAATTAGCGGAGGACATGAAGATGTTAAAGCAAGGTTTGAAAGAAATTCAACAAGAAATTAGCTACCATAGGAGGAAAAATTCGTCATCGTCATCATCACATCAACCACCATCATCATCATCATCACAGCCGCCACAACAACAACAACTATCATCATCAACAACAACAACAACAACATCAACGTCAACGTCGTCAACTCTTAAGAAGAGAGATAGTGATAAGTTTATAGAGGTGATGGATGGTTTCATTGGCGTCTGCGAGTACAGCTTTTCAGAAGTTGAAGAATCTTACAGGGAGATGTTGAAGGAGGTGAGAGGAAATGATAATAATAATAACAATAATAATAATAATAAGAATATGTATTAATAACTGCCATGCTAACAATAACATCGAAAATATCCACCACAGTTCGCCAAAGCGATGACTCACTTCGGCGAAGAGGAACCTGAAAAAGGTCAACCGGAAGTCTTTTTTAGTATCTTTGATCAATTCGTGACGTCACTGGCAGAAGCCAGGAGCGATAATAAGAGATTTAGAAGAATTAGGGAAGAAGAGATGAAGAGAGTAAGAGTAGAAATGCAGGTGAGTTAATTTGAGTATGCATCAATGTTTGTAAGTATGTCTGTGTGTATTGATATGTGTGTATGTATTGTACGCACGTATGAATGCATTGTACTGTGATGTTTATATGATGAAGATGATTAAAATGATTATCACTTGCCATCATTCAAGATGAGACTGGATCGGGAAAGCAAGGAGAAAGCGAGGAAATTGAAAAACGCTGCCGATGGGGAAGGTACTGATGGTGATCGTGTTGATATTAATGGTGATAACGATACATATATAGACACAAATACACAGACGCGCACGTACTTACATATATCACAGACGCACACCAACACACACACACATACTTACATATATCACACACAAACTCACACAGACTCACACACACACACATACGTACACACACACATACGTACACACACACATACGTACACACACAGGCGAATTTGATGATTTGATTTCTGCCCTGCAGACTGGGGAGGTTTTCGGCGACGATATCGCAAGGATCATGAAGAGGAAGAAAAAAATACTAAATAATAATAATAATAATAACAACAACAACAATAATAATAACAATAATAATAGTGATTGCAAAACTGCCCAACGCAATAATAGCAATCGGGAGAGATTGAACGCTATATTAATGGGTAGTAAATAATAATGATAATGATAATAATAATAATAATAATAAGGTGGAGAATAAGAATAGCGATAATAATTGTTATTGTAGTAGTAAAAATAATGGAATTTTCGCCGATATGTATCGAGGTTCTCACCCATAATCCTGGCCCAACAGCCTTAAATATCTTAAGGCAATATATAAATTAATCACTGCCATGTTAGGCGACAGCATGGAACTGTTCTTCGCAACTGACTGACCAGCGGCTCCTGCGTGTCTGTGTGTTGGAAAATATCCAATTGAATGCCGACATGTGCAATTAACAACAAATCAAAGTGTTAAACCACTTGTTTCTCGGTGGTTGGCTGTTCAGTGTCATTCATCATGTTTCGGTTTTAACATACATACTTACGTACATGCATACATACGTACATACATACATATATACAAACAAACAAACAAATACAAACAAACAAACAAATACAAACATGCTAAGACGCATTTTTCCATTCAGAACAGTTCATTAGATCTATTGCTGCAATTATTATTCCTAGTCTCAATTTTCGTTTCAAATTTCTATTACAATAGTAATCGAGATGTATTGTAATTTTAAAAAATCTAATTTTATTAATATTTAAATTAATAATTTTTCAAAAAAACTGATGAATTAATTATTCTCTGTTCGATTTATTTCAATTATGACCCACAGAGAACAAACGGTCGTCAGATTGGTAAATAAGTTAGATTATGATAAGTTTTTGGTCTAGCGTGTGATCTTAGTTTAGTATATAGTCTTAACATGATCGCAAAAATACTCATTACACCATTCCAACGAGTTAAGTTCGAGTCCCACCAATTGAGTTATACTCTATAAATCATCTTCGGATGGAAAAGCTTTTCGAGTTTTTCTGGCCTTCACGACAGCGGAAGAACCAACAACCAAGTGACAGCTTACGAACGAGCAATTGAAAATTTAAGAAAAGAAACGAACACGGTGCACGTGCAGAAAGCAACAACCGCGTGCAATTTACGTGCAAGATGTAGCTGCTTCAAATCGCCACATAATCTATTTTTAAAGAACTTACATTTGCTATCGATCTAAATTATACCTCTTATTAAACCTGGATACGAGCGTCAAATGTTTGACACAGAATGACAAAAGACCATTTCAATGCAAATACAACTTTTTTCACAAATAAAGTGCTACAAATATTTGTATAATTACATATATATAGTAATATAGCATGGAACGAACGAACAAATGAATGACTGGGCTAGAAATATTATTGTATGTAAAGAAATGAACGAATGAAAATGAATGAAGAAATGGATGCTGAATGAATGAATAAATGAAAGAATGGATGAATTAATGGATGAACCGAAAAAGTAAGATCGAATTGAGACATATATAGTTGACTGTTTTGTGAAATGTTATAGGTTACATGTGATTTTCATTCATTCATTCATCAATCGCTCGTGATGTTTTCATTAATTCATTAACTCATCTGTCCATTCGTTCATTCATTCATTCACTCCTCTATAAGTTCATTCATTCATTCACTCACTTTTTCAATTCGCAGTTTATTCCATTGATTATTTGTTAACACATGCACCTATCAATACAAATAAATTATTCACATATTCATTCACGTATTATTCATTCATTCATTCAGGCAGGCAGGCAGGCAGAAAGTCAATCATTCACTCGTTAACCTTCACATTAACGTTGTATCAAAATTTGTAACTAAGAAATGAAAATTAATGAGAAACGACCGGAAATAACATTCACAAAGATAAATGAAAACAATTCAGAAACAAACAAACGAACAATAATAAATCTTAAACGTTATACACACACACACATATATATATATACACATATATATATACATATAATTATATATATATATATATAATACATACATACATATATATACATACAATTATATATATATATTATATATATAACTTCGAAAAATTGTACAGGAAGCTAACTAACGTGTAACATTTTCATCAACAATTGCATTTGCGACGGACTTACATGTGAACATATATAAATTTGCTTTCAAATCTATGCACATACATACATATATATTATGTATGTAATCTATGCACATATATACATTACATATATATATATACACACACACACACACACACACATATATATATATATATATATATATATATATATATATCAGTATATAAAAAGCAGTAGTTATGTTAATACATTGGAGTCAATGTTTAGTACATCCTGCTATCAGTACAAACTAATGATAAAACAACAAACATAGAGAGAGAGAGAGAGAGAGAGAGAGAGAGAGAGAGAGAGAGAGAGAGAGAGAGAGAGAGAGAAGAACACCAACCATATATATCATCATTTTCGTTATTATAGCAGAATTATTATCGTAACTGCTAATACTACTTCGATTTATCATTGTCATTATATTAACTGTCATCATCGTCGTCTTCGTCATCATCATCAGGTGGGATGGTATATAGACATGTGGTCTTGAACGTCAAACATTGAGTTGCATTTGTGAGCGCATGTCAAACAATGCAGCTTCAAGTCGTCGCCATCATCATCAACACCGCCATCCTCATAGTCGCGGTCGTCATCATCATCGTCATCATCATCATCATCGTCATCATCATCATCATCATCATAGATATCGTCATCATGATCGTCGTTAAACAGTAGGAAAGAATCGGAAAATGACGCCAGGAATGATGACGATGCCAGCGATGAGACTTGCTTTTTTAAATAATTAACACTTAGTGTCTTTGGTAATTTTGTTGACGACGACGATGATGTTAGTAATGATAATGACGGTGATGATGATAATGATAGAGGTAATGATGATAATGATGATGTTGTCAATGCCGTATTTATTTCATCTTGAGTTAAGTGATTTTGCTTTAATATCGAGAATTGCTGTTGTTGATGCTGCTGCTGTTGTTGCTGATCATTATGTTGCGGCTCTTGTTGTTGCTGGTGTTGTTGTTTAAATGCTAACTGATGAGGACTATGAAGATGATGACGAGGTGGTTTATTGTTTAGTTGTACTGAACTATGATGAAAATGTTGTTGTGTGTTATGATCAAGTTGTTGATGATTCAGTGTTTGTTGTTGTATGTTCTGGAATTCTATATACAGATGTTGTTGTTGAAAATTTTGCAGCTGCTGTTGCTGCTGCTGCTGATGATGTTGCTGTTTCTCATGATGGCTGCAAAATGTAGAAGGTAAAGTTTTCCTGATTTTGAGAACTGAAATATGTCGTTGCTGTTTGCTCTGTTTAGAATGCGGATGTTGTTGTCGGTGTTGTTGTAGTACCAATAGTTCGTGCTTCGTGAGCTGGCGTTGTTGCTTACAAAGTAGTTGTTGTTTATGCTGCTGTTGTTGGGCTAAGGTTGGCTGTAACTGTCGCCAAATAACCGGAAAGCAATCATCGGAACGTGGAATGACCTGGCGGTTGGTTCTGAGACCTAGCAGCGAGATACACTCATCGATCCTATGCAGTCTCAACTGCATCACCTTGTCTAATAATTTGGTATATTTATTATTACTATTACTATTATTATTATTGACATGATTATCGTTATTTAGAGTAGTAGTAGTGATAATGTTAAAATTGGTATTTCCATCATGGTTCATGTAATTATTGTTACGATTATCATTGCCATTAGTAGTAGTAGTAGCAGCAGTAGAAGCAGCAGCAGTAGTAGTGTTTAGCATCTTAGCAGTAAAAACCAAAGTGCTAATAAAACTATTATTATTATTATTGTTATTGTTATAATTATTATTATTATTAGTGGTGGTAGTAGTAGAAAGAGTTTCATAATTATCATTATTATCCATTAATATGCTTTTAATGTTTAAACCATTGTTATCATTAAGGTTATTACTACTACTACTATTTGTAGTAGTATTATTATTTCTCTTGATGTATATTTTATAGATGTTATCTTGGTAGTACTGCGTGTTGTTGTATCTCTTGTTCGGCAACTTATTCCTATTGGAAACCGTTCGGATTTGACGATGTTGTTGTTTTGGTGGTGTTGTTGATGTTATGATCCTATTATTAGAATTAGCCACAGTAGTAGCTACATCAGTAGGCAGATGTTGTCGTAGCTTTTGATTTGATGTTAATGCTGCCACTCTCTCATTACGCTGTTGTTGTTTTTGCGGTCGTGTGGTCAATGCAGTCGCTTCATCGCCGTCAAAACTATTATCATTATTAACACTACTGATATTATTGTAATTGTTTTTATCATCATCATCATTATCATTATTAGTAGTAACAGTAGTAGTAACAGTAGAATTAATGCCACCATTTTTGAAAATTCGATATTTTTTCTTATTTATAGGAGATATTTTCACTTTACACGATTTGGTAGTATAATTATTATTAGTAGTAGTGGTGGTGGTAGCAGCACTAGCAGCAGTAGTTGTTGTAGTAGCCTCAGCGACAGTAGTAGCGGCAGTAGAAGTAGTAATTATAGAAATAACCATATCGCTATTTTTACCTTTATTACCGTCAATAGCAGAAGGGTTACCAGCAGTAGAAGTAGCGGCAGTAGAAGTAGCGGCAGTAGAAGTAGCGGCAGTAGAAGTAGCGGCAGTAGAAGTAGCGGCAGTAGTAGTAGCAGCAGCAGTAACAGAAGTAGCAGCAATAGTATAAGTAGTAGCAGTAATAGTGGCGGTATCGATAACAACCTTAGCAGTAAAAGTATTCGTAATGCAGTTTGAAGAAAACCCGCTTGTGTTAGAATAAGTTGTACAAACTAAGAAATCGTAATTTGTAGTGGTAACAGCAGTAGTTGTAGCATTAGAAGCAGCAGTAGTAGTCGCAGTAGCAGCGGTTGTAGTAGTAGCAGTAGAAGTAGCAACCTTAGTAACAGTAGAATTAGAATTAATATTAGCAGTAGTAAAAGTAATATCTTCATGATTTGCTGTAGAAATATCAAGTATAGAAATACTATTATTACGACTATTCGTAGCAGAAGTAGTAGTAGTAGGAGTGGTAGGAGTATTAACA